TTTTGCATAATACTTCAGTGTTAGCTTGAGTCAGACTGAATTCAGTGGGATTAGATACTAAGCTCTAGTGTCTTGCTGAATCAGAACAGAGGTTTTAATGCAAAGATAAATATTTAATGTAATATAATGAGATTCTTAACAAGCAGAAGAGAAAGGAAAGCTACTAACTGCAGAAATCAGATTTCAAACTGAGGAGCAGATTTGCAAGTCCTGCCATGGGCTTAACTCACAATATGATCATTAAAACCTGTGATAATGTAAGATCATTTAAGAATTATTTCAGTCTTTAGCATGGTGTGCATGTAACAGCATTTATCCTTACAAACAAGCTATTTACAGTCCAATTCCAGCCCTTTTTTCCTTTGCCAGAGACAGCAATCACTGCAGAATGAAAGATGAGCTACACTCATGGCTAGTTGTTTGTATTCCAGCACTGGTAAAACAAATCATTAAAATCAAAGGACCAGCCATTTTAACAAACTGTGTGCACTGTTGTTATTGTGACTTATGGCTTTGCTCTGCAGAGAGGAAAGCTATAAACAGCATAAAAGAGGTATCAATTTTTTTACTGCATGGTTAAGTGTTAACCATACATATGTAAGTATATATAATACCTATATATTATATGCATACCTATATATTTATACACACATGAGTAAAACTCTAGTTTTATATACATCTCTACATATGTCTGTCTAGGTATATAGCTCATGTGCTTACATGAGAGAGACACAGCACACCTGCACCTATGTTGGGAAAAGTTATTGTTTTATCTATAGGTATTAGTTTCCACAGATGTTTCCAGACTATAATAATGGAAGCAGACTTGTCACTGTGCAGGTGTATGTGCTGAGGGCACATCCCTGTACTGTCTGGGTGCTGGCTCTCGCCTACACAAGTGTCTAGCAGGCAGTGTTCAGGCAGTACGCCCTCCTGCAGAGCACGGGAGCTCCTCCCTGCCCACACGCTGCCCTTGCCTTCTGATGGAAGCCAGGATGTGGAAGGGCAAGGGGGAAGAGGTAGGTAGGTCAGGCCCTGACTTGCAGTCAGGACGTGGCCAGACCTTATGCTGGGACACGGGGGATAGGAGATGTTCCCCCGTTCCCCAGTTTAGCCATGGGCTTCTCTGGCTTACAGGGCAGTGTCGTTCCATGCTGAGCAGGGTACAGTTTTGTAATACAAATGAAAAGTATTTGGGGAACAGTTCCCATGGAAAACAGGACACATTCAAAATTATTACTATATAAATTACAGAGTTCCATGGCTTTTATACGATTCTGGTTCAGAGGTCTGATATTTCAACCGATGAATGAGTTTGTCTTTCCTCGTATCTGGGTGTTCGACACCTACCATCCATCCTTTGAAAATAGCATTCTCTTGAAGGGGTCTTCACCAGGCTCCAAAACAAAAGGGTGGCCAAAACCATTGTTCAGAGTTGGTGAAGGTTAGAATTCCTAAGCCAGCCATAGCATACTGAGAGCCAGGTATAATCTCATCTGCCTTATGTACACTTGCTAGCTCATTGTTCTAAACATATAGAGGGAATATACGCACATTTGGTAGTGATCAGCTGATTTTTCAGGATCCTGGCTAGGCTGATATTGCTGGTCGTCAAAACCCACTTGATTTGACTTCTGATCCAGAGAACTCAATACTGAAATTACTGAGGTAAAGAATAAATATGGAATGATACAGAAGCAGGTCCTGTTAATATTATACACTTCAGCACTCAATGATTTTTCATCATTTTCATGTTTCTTTATGATACAAAAATGTGGAGTAGACTTGCTCAATTTCAAGGTAAAATTATACCAGTGATATAATTCTTAATATAAAAGAAAGCTTCTGAAAATGTTTAAATGGAAATATGTATTTCTCACTTATTGCTTCATGAGTTCATCTTTAAACATTCATGAGTCATTTATCTTAACATAAATTCTTCTCCATGGAGGTGTCTGCTTATTATACCAAATATTTTCAGTAATAAGTTTTTAATGTGTTTTCCTCTTTCCAGTATTTCTAACTACATTTTAGACCCTAATTCCTTAAAACTAATGAATGTTCCTCCTTCTGTTATGATCCCTTGCTGCTGTTGCTTAGCCACTGATTATATCACATACAAACTTTATCTTCTCTCTTATGACATATGTTGTTATAGCCTGAAACAATTCTGCCATACAGATGAAGTATTAAGTCTTTTGTGCAGGTGAACAGCTCTTCCACTTCCCATACCATTATCAGATTGGCCTATTCCTACAGGACTGCAGCATTTCTACAATCCGGATAATAATCAAAGTCTATTTCTCATTCTCTGAATACTGCTGATGAAAGAATGAATCTTATTCTTTCGTGCTTAACTATGCAGAATGGTGCTATTCATTGAACTGTTTCAGGAATTTCTGAACCATACAGATAAATGGGCTTTTGGATGAGCAGGGATTATTCCACTGTATCAAGGGATGTGAGGCAGCACTTAATTTGGAGCATTAATTACTTAGGAATACATTATGTTAGGCTGATATGTACAGAAATATAGATTATGAGAAGATTTGACTTGATCGACAGAACTAAGTAGAGTATATAAAAGAAAATTTTGGATTTTGAGTGGTGTCTCTATATATCACTTGCCAATCCAATTCTTCCCAAATTACAAATAAATCTGAATGTTGCTAATTACAGAAGTATTTTAAGTAATAGCAATAGGCTTTAAAAAAAATATTAAAAAGCAGTCTTTTGGTATGTAAGTGTAGCAAAAGTACTTAGCATTCAACAGCTGTGCTACTGGAACGCAAAAAGAATTGCAAACAACAGATTTTACTTTATTCCAACTATTCTTTCATTTGATGTAAATACCTTAATCCTGAGACCCAAAGAAAACCACTCCATTTTCCTTGGTTTGGACTGAAATCAGCCAGTTCTGCCTATTGGATATAATCGATGGGTAAAAACTATAAAACTTCAGGTAACAGCGGTGCCATCTTTGTGGTCTCGTATTTTAATCTTACTAAAGACATGCCCCAATGCAAATGATGACACTCTGGCTCTGAACAGCCCTTAGGTTCAGCAGGTCCCTCTCTTTTCACTTCTGGCTGCTCTTAACCTGGAAACAGAAATCCTACTCCAGTATTTGAAGCACAACTGGGCTCACTGCCGCAGTTATGGATCTGTGCCACATTTCAGACTGTTACTGAATTTGAAACTCCTTCTTTAAATTGTATATACAGATTTGCTTTATAGGTCGTATATGCTCATACGTCTCAAGGCTGCAACTAAACACAAAAAGAACTCCTATATAGAACCTGTAGATTATTTTGTGTGAAGGTTTGCTCCTCCTAATTTCTTTTCTTCTTTAGAAAATTGTAAGTTTTCATTTCCAGTTTTGTGGATTCAAAATGTGCAAATATAAAGAAAAGCTCCTTACTTGACATTTTGATCAGAAAGCACTGACCATGTTGAATCAACTTGCCCATGGGAATATATTTATCTTGTCACAACTTGAGAGTATGGACAGGCCAAACACATGCCAGAAAGGTGACACTTCCTTGGGAAAAGAAATTCTGTCTTTTGTTCAGCCCTAGTCCATAGCTCATACAACCTTAGTTGTGCTGATTAGCATCAACAGGCATTTTCTGCAGCACAATAGAACTGAATGACACTGATGACTTCATTTAAAAAATGACTGGCCATTATTTTTTGTATGGATTGGAATATGCTATATTGAGAGAAGAATCCTGATTTGGGATTAATATTTCCATACAGGAAGGACTGTGCCACTTAACTATTTCATTTTCTTAAAAAATACACCTTAAGTGATAAAATAAAAAGATCTGTGTGCAAAAACCAGCCCTTTTTATTCCTTTCCCTATTTTGAAGTATATTAATCCTCTGAATTATTGCTAGTAATTATTAAATTACTGGGTAATCACTGAGGACTTATCAGCTCACTTACAATAAAATATTAATTTTCTCAGACTCATTGACTAAGTGTGACCATCAAATTCTTACAGAAACTGTATCAGGGCAGTATTTTCCTCATTCTTCTTTGAGAAGACATTTCATTACCATGCAAATGGAAGTGCCTCTGAGCAGGCTAATTGGTATATGAGACATGTAACATGCAAAGCACAGCATTAAGTCACTTCACAATTTATACACAAAGTATAATTCAAATTTGCCTAGAAATACCATTGTTTTTTTCAGATCTGGTATTTACATACGGCAAAGTGGTGGGTGGATGTCTATTACACGTGCAAAGATTAGAAAGAATAATTCTGTAAGATACTATAGCTCACCAACAAAGAAAGACTATTTAAAGGAAATGCACTTGGTAATTAGACTAATAATGGACAATTAATTTGATAGAAGCAGGCAGCCCATTTGAAAGCAACGGAAGTACATAATGTAATCAAAGCATATCTGGCCGAATTACCTGCATTTGTTCATTTATTTAAAGGCATGTTATGTGTACACATTATCACTATCTTTTAATATTTATTTTAGAAGAGACTGTAATATTCAACAGGCTAGGAAAACACTGAAAAAGACCACACATTTACTTCTAAGAATAGACATGGCCACTAAGCAGTTTAGGCAACTACAAATCCAGTTTCAAATACAACATCTCTGTACACTTTTCCGTAGGATGGGACAGAACCAGACTCCCAAGCATATCAGTAAGGATGCTATCAGCATCTGCAAAACAGGCTTCAAGTTTAACACACATTGAAAAATCTCCCCAAACACGCAATTTTGGCATGTGAATACAAGCCTGAAACTTAACACACATACCAGCCAAACAGCCAAGAGCCGGGCCTTTCATTACCATCAAGCTAATCTAAACCACTCAAAAGTGTGTTAAGGTAGACTATCTTTCTGACGTGCAGTCATTTCTCTTAAGTGTCTAAACATTGAGCTACTGCAGCTGGCAACAGGCAGTCATTGATTTCACACTGTGAAAACACTTTCTAAAGACAACTTTGTTATCAAATGTGGTTATTTACCTGTCGTAGTCTTGGCAAATCTCCCCAACAGCTACCAGTGCTTTCAAGTACTCATTGGGTTGGTAGGGGTGGATGTAGTGCAGTGAGCAGCTGTTTCTAGGATCACCATTTGATGCAGTGAAATCTATAGCTACCTGGAAAAGAAGAAAAGTCAGTATGTTGTGGAGCTCTTCGGGGCATAAGTATACCCTCACGAACCATATATCTACCAGAAACAGTTTTCCATAGAGACTGCAGCCTTAAAGCGAATGTTATTTTACAGTGTACTTCATCAAATTTGAATTAGGATAGTATTGACAAATATGGCTAAAAGTAAATGCCAGCTTATAAAATAAGAGATAATAAAACTAAAATGGCATAATTAGGAAAAAAAAATGAACTGCATTATTATTCTATGTGGAAAACTATGTTCTAATACAAATGAATCCAATTAACTATCTCTAGGTTCTCATACTTAATTAAATTATTCCAGCTCAGGTGATGTTCAGGACATAAAAGCTTTGCAGCAAAAACATCCCAAGAGACTCAAAAAACCTACTGAAACTATAAATTAAAAACTCCAGTTAGGGACGATTCTTAGCTATTTTAAACCTTACTGTTGCTGTAGTAATAGCAGCAGATACTGCCTGTCTGGTATTTTTTATCTTTAAAACATCTAAGCATTAAATAATTAACCCTCCCAATTTCATAGATGATAGCAAGCTTAAAGGTGAGCTGCAGGGTAAAAATAAAGCTTGAACCCTGCACAGATTTTTGTGTTTAAAAGGCTTAGAGAAGATTGTGGGAAGCATTCATTGCAAAAGCAAATATTAATGAATCCTCTTAAAATTCATTTCACCCTTTTAAAATGCTCTTTATACTTCTCACTGAAGTGAAGTACTCTGGCACACATCTTCCTGTGATATGACTATCATGGACCAGAAAGCCCTCTTCTGAGTTTGTGCTGCTGCTTTCTAGGAATTCCTAAAAGGAGCAACAAGAAACCCAAAGGGTCTCATAGAGGCAATGAAGCCAGTTACAAACTTCCTTATGATTTTGTCCAATGAACTCTTCCTCCAAAAAACCCGTTATACCTGGATATTCAATGGACAAATGCACAGAGTTCAGTTTTCAGTTTTACAGTGGAGTTGACAGGTAAGGGCCTTGCAGAAGGCTCCAAAAAGAACTTGGAAGTCCCAGCTTGCCTCTGTGAATGTGCAGCTTCCCCAGCTGGAGCAGAGGGAAGACTATTTTATGCAGCTATAAAATGAAAATGAAACATGACATTTTCATTCTCCCTTAAAAAAATGACACAGTCCTCCTGAAACTTATTTTTCGTTGCTAAAAACTAAAAGGGAAAATCATACAGGCTCAACGCAACATGGCTTTTCCCCACTGTTTCTGATTTTCCACCTCTAACTCAGCTGAACAAAAATATTTTTCACTGGGCTCTAGTTAGCTTGGAAATCCCTTCGTCGCCTTGATCAACTATGAACTGCCACCACCTCGCATTTCAGTCAGGAGATAGGAGCTTGATTTGGCTTGCAAATAAAGTAATCTTTCACCTCTGCTTCCCTACTCATTGTTTATACACTGAAGAAGTGAGTCTGTCTTCCACATAGATCTTTTTTCAAAAATGATAGCTTGATTTAACTTGAATAAATCAATGGGAAACCTCTCACGTTCTCACTTCTATGCATGTACGTAACTGAGGAAGAAAGAAACAGTAGTGGTTTGTGAAACCTAAAGTAAACCCATAGACACTTGTATGCTTTAGCTTAGTTTTGGGACACTTGTTCTTGAAAAACCTTAGCCAAGGTGTGTGTATTTTCTTAAAAAAGATGTATATTTTCTCTGGTATTAATTTAACCTTATTTTTTTGTTCTGATTATAGAAAGTGCAAAAATGTCACAGTATGATAGAGAAACAAAGGGCATTCCTGTAAAATTGTCAAAAGTAGGCGTTTTTACTGATAATCTCAAAACAGACATTAACAAGACTTGAGTGACATATCAGACAGAACTGGACAAGTCTTCCTTTGTGGCTGTTAGCAACAGCTAAATGCTTTTTAACTGAAAAGAAGAGCACAGCGTAGGAATGAGCAGTGGGTTTCAAGAGCTTGGAAAAAAGTCTGTGGCTAGTGTTACTTGCCATGATTCCAAAATAACAGTGCAGAGGTCTGCTCTTTTAACATTACCCAGCAGTACCAAGGTCTTGTGCAAATACCTAGGATAAGGAGTTGTAAAACTAAGTCACAGAAGTTAGGCTAATATCACAACTGAGCTAATCTTGTGGGCAGCAAAGTAGGAATCTTTCTTACAGTGCGTACATTTGATTTTTATCAGTGTATCTTTAAATGTATCAGTTCCGATGTACCAGTCATCTTCCCACATCTAAATAAGAACATAACATAGCAATAACAACACTCTTAGTACTTTTTTTCCTCAGCCTTGTAAAAGGGTGATTTTCATTGCGCTAAAAACATCCTACATAGCTTGGACCTCCTGCTAAATCTGTCAGCAACAAATCAGCCTGCCCAATACCGTGACCTGCCTGAGAGAGAATCTGTCCAATATATCTTTCTATTACAGTTCCCTTTATGCATGTTACACATCCTTTCTGCTGTATTTCCTGAAGTGATGAAAATGTCTTCTGACTACAGACCCATTTGCACTGCCAACTTCTGAACACTTCTTCTGCAGCAGGCAACACTGATAAGAGATACAGGGTTTTGCAATAAGCAGTGCATAAAAATAGCGGACTGGAATCAGCACTATTGATCTCTATAGATGAAAGCTTCTTAATAAATGGTTTTAAAGTAAAGAAGAAGTTTACTTTCGTTTTTCAGAGACGTTCTTTCTAACTACAAACTATGTTCCTACAATAGACGTACAAAGTATCCCAAGAACACACAGCATGATGTTACCAAAGCCTTCATTAGTGCCTTAAATAAGCAGGTACATCATACCACAGCTTTTTGTTATCAAATGTATCCTTAGCATCCCAGTTGCCCTCCCTCAGCAAGTGCCCTTTCAAATCACAGTTGCATCATACTGCCTGTACACAGCATGAACTCAATAGAAATGTCATTAGGACAACACCACCACCACCACCACCACCACGTACCAGGAGAGTTTCAAACAATTCCAGATCCATTCCAGTTAAAATAAATGGAAATCTGGGAAGGTGGAAGGAATAGGCCTCCTCTATTTCAGTGGTCTGAATTAACCAGATTAGGACTTTGTGAAAAGGAGATTATATGATGTGTGCAGAAAGCAAGGGAGCATTGAATATCTCCCCTGTAGGCTGCACCCTTTGGCTTCAGTGCCCACTGCAGAATCTCTGATATGTTTCTGGAAGCAGCAACACATCTTACAACCTGTCTGCTATCATCACTGGGGCCTGGTGCAACTCAGACAGGAGGAAGCAAAACATGCGGAGAGTCTTTAAGTAGAATCACTAGGTTATGCATGAACAGAGCTATAGGCACAGAGACATCCACAACGGCTTCCCCTGAGTCCATGTAAGTTGAAAACTGATAGCGATGAGGTTACACAATCCTGTAGCTGGTGGATTTACCATTGAGGTCAGCAGTAATTCAGGGATCTCTGCGGTTCACAGTAGAATGGATCTTTGATTTCCTTTATGTCCTCACTGCCCGTCCTTGCAGATGAGTTTACCTAAATTTCCTATTATCAATGGTTTTGTTTCATTTCAGCAAAATGAAATATTAAAATAGTAAAATATAGTAGAAGCAATACTATCCATTTTAATGCATTTTAACACAGTACTTTCCAACTTGTGGTTCACAGCCTACTAATAGGAAATCTGTTTCAAGTAAATAAAGGGCAAGCAAATTGCCACAACCCTTCAGTGCACTGTGTAAGGACTTGCTCTTCCATTGGAAAACATTTAGGAGGAATCAAAAAGAGTTTGAAAAGCACAGCTGTAACATCATAATATGTATATCCCTAGACACTTTCTAATAGTTACAGTGCTCCTGTGCTTGAGCCAGAGTTGTGGGAAATGCATATTAACCAGTCTCTGCATGTGCTTAAGCACCTGCCCTGATTAGAAAAGGCTTTTAAATATTACTTAAAGACATTACTGTCTTTCAGCTAATGACCTTGAACCCATTTGATAATTTTCTTCCAGTCATATTTTTATGGAGGAAATGTCAGGAAAGATAAATTAAAGGGGTTTCCAGGGATTGGTGAGTTTCAGATTTGGAGGAGAAATGGGCATTGCAGGCATGTGGGGGTAACAGAAGAAGCTGGGTAAGGCAGAGAGGTGATTACACAGAATGCTTTGCTTGAGAAAAGACAGCTATAAAGATCTTTGTCCACTACAGTAGGTATTTCCTTCAAAACCAAAAGCAGGGTCCTCAGTTCTGGGTGTTATCCAATGAGTTTGTGAGGTGTACTGGCAAAGTGCATGTTTTACACCTCAAAAAGCTGATTCATACACAAGAAGACAATCCACTACTGTCTATAGCTGCTGCTGTTGCCGGAACTTTCTGTCGGGACAAAAAAAAAAAAAAAATCTTTCTTTTTCTGTTAAAGCTTTTTGGAAAATGAAGGCTTGTCTGGAAAAAGTGAAGTGGAACATTTCAGTAGCATCCAATATCTGATACCACGACATTAATACCTGGGAGCAGAAACAGGGCATGGTGCTACAGGAAAATAAAAGATCTCTAGAAGAAGAATATTACCTTGGAGCACTAGATTTTATCCCTGTAACTGGCATAAAACTAGAAGTCATATAAACCAGACTGGAACCGAGACACAATCTGTATTCCTACGCTACGGGAAATACTGATTTTTTTTTTTTTTAATTTTTATTTTTATTTCCCAGATTCAATTAAAAAAAAAAAAAGAAAAAGAAAAAGAAAAGATCAAAACCACGCAGCATTAAATGTTTCTAAAAATGATTACTTGGAAGTCCAAAATATTGTATTTCTATTTATGGGGAGCTCCACAAATCATTTAATCCCCTGTTCCTTGAACTGAGTAGCTTCTGAATTCGCTCTAAATTACAACTGTGTCCCTCTGTAGTGCCATCTTACTGTTGGTAGCTATGGCTGAGGTATGAAACGTCAGCATGTACCCTAGCATTTACCCCAGACTGACAGAGAGAGGTCCCTGGCTGGACTATTGCTCTGCCTGTGACTTTCTGTATGGCACCATTAGAGGGGAAACAACTTGCTTTAATGGAGGACTCATTCTGGAAAGGAAGACTGGCCCATAGGATTGATGAACAGGGCATCTAACATTTAAGGTGAGATGAAATCCCCCCCTGTGACACAGTCCCAACAAGGGAATTTATTTGAAATTCTTGTGAACAAACTGAGGCTCAAAAGCCAAAGGCCAGTCAGCACTGTCAAAGGGGCTAATTCAGTTCTCCAGCTTTTGGGACTGGGTGTAGCTCAGATGGAATTGGTGGGACTACACCACCTTAGCTTCTCACCCCTGTATGAAGTTGTCTTTACTTTTTGCAATGTGATTGCCACTGCTGCAAAACATAAAAGTAAGTCAGCATGTGCAAGAAAAATCCTACTGCATTAGAATAGTTTTATTTTCTGGGCTTAATACATTTTGCAGGAAGACCTTAATAATTTACCAAGGAATGGCATGTAAGAATCATTTCTCTGTGAAAGTAATGAATCGGTATCTAAGGGGATTCCCTTTCTTTAAAACAAGTTAGAGAAGTAAGACACTTACTGTAAACTGTATTTGGCAGCCTCCCATGATATAATCTAAGAAAGAATGCATCTTGTGGATCTGCAGACAAGAAAGCAAGACATTCAAATTAGCTGTGTACTGCTAAAACATCAGGGAACTGCCTGAAAAAAGTAAATTGGATGGAGGAAAGGGACCAATTGAAAATAAGGTAAAGGAAGAAAGCGTTAAATATAGTTTGAGACAGAAAACAAAAACGTAAACAGAGAAAATATCAAAATTATAAAACTGCAGAAAGGAAAATTCACATCAAAAGTAGAACCAAGCTCTGCTCCTTCTCAGTGGGAAGTCAGTGGAAATTTTGCTATTGGTTCAGGAGGAACAAGAGCAATTTTGTAGAAATGATGGAAGGATTAGAAGGGAAACACACAAAAGACCAATTGGCAAGCCTGTAGGTATAAGAGTGTAGTATTGCCTACTCCATTGCACAACAGCAGGGACAGGGCAAGAGTAATGAAAGAGGAGAGTTGGGGATAGTCAGCTTACCTTTGGGATTCAAGTCCTTGTCTTTACTTTTTGTAGTGGAGCAGTTTCCACTGCTATCCTACAGGCAGTTCCACTTTGTTGTCTGTGTTTCCAAACACCATTAAAATATATTGCTGAGAGCTTAGTAAAGAAACAGCCAAAGAGTAAAACATGTATTTACCTTGCACTGGTTAAGGATGACAATGCCTGAGTTCTTGTAATTCTTCTTCTTTGCTTTGTACTTGGGGTTAATGCACTCCCATTGTACCTGTGAAAAACAGCAGTCACTGCTTGAAGGAAAACCTATGTACAAATTGAATAATTAACAAAAATGGCACTGATTTCCACAGTTGACTAAATCCTATCAAATAATGGTGCACACAGAAGAAAAAATGAAAACCATTAACTATGCAGAGAATGATCTTAATAGAAAAAGGCTCAGGGCAAACATCTGTCTTAAAACACATACATGTGGACACAGCACTGAGAGAGAGATCCAAATTCGTGTGTTGTCTTCCAGTCTTGTAGGTTCAGGTGTTACATAAGCAAGATTGAGATCATTTAAGAGGATAAAAAAAGAGGGAATTTAATACAAATGAAAATAATGGAGGGAGCAACCTGATGCATTGTATCAACTACAAAACTGCCTATGCAGTAACACTGGTGTTTTGTATTAAACTCATGATTGGAGAAATTCTGATCAGAAATCATCTCAGTCTCTTGAAAGAGAGCAGTAGTTTCTCCTTTAAGTCTGATAATAAAATAAAAAGTTAAGAAAATCACTAAAATGTGCACAAAGATGCAGTTATCTAATTACTGATATATTTGAAAATTATCCCTAAGAATATATTAAAACCCCTTTTTTAAAATGTTCTGAATAGTTTTATTTACAAATAGTCAATTTTACAGCAAAATAGTCCTACCTTGTTACTGAGATACATTGTTTTGTTCCCATCATAACATCTCCCAGAGTCTTACTGACTTCCACTTCAAATGTTCTGCCCTCCTCCGGTTTTGGGCAGATTGATAAGACCAAGCTTTCAGACCCTGACCTCTAAAGTCTACAATATTATTCATGCCTCTTACTGCAGGAGTAAAAAGTATGTTTGTACGTGCAAGTATCTATTGGCATTTGTAAATCCAGATTTGTATCTGTAGTGTGTTATTAAATACAGTTAAGAACGTTACTGTTTTCTTTCAGGGAGGTGCTTTCAAGTGCTGGGAGAAAACATGTGATGTTTGGTAACATAAAGAATGTATCTCCAAAGGGAACCAGGATGAACTATTATCTAAAAATTCCCATTATGACATTTTGAAATGAAGCATATCTGTCTTAAATGTTACAATATTTTGCCTATAGTGAAGACCTTCATAAGTGTTACAATACTTTGTCTATAGTGAAGACATTCACATAGGATCTGAGCAAAGTGTTTGAGCATGTAAAACTATTTTTACTTTATGAACAGCCCCAGCGATTTCATTGAGCTTCAAACCATTGCCTAGCAGCAATTATTTGGATGTCTCTGAAGTATTTCAAACTTAGAGCTTTTGTCAAATGTCAAAAAAGGGAAGGCAAACCATATGGCTTTGGAGCAATACGAGACCTTTTCTGCACAGGGGAGGAGGAGTACTTTCATCACTGTGTTACTGGAGACAGATGACAGAGTGAAGAATGGGAAAAGACAAAAAAATGTTCCAACTGCAGGAAGCACATCTGTTTGCTCTCCCAGTTAGCCTACAGCTCAATTATTTGTCTCATGAAATGAATTTTCCAACTGAGAAGACAGGCAGACACAGGCCCACATGTTCAGGGGAAATCCTCCATAAACATTTTTTCTCTACTCAAGAGAAGCAGTCAGGCTTAAGAAATAAAAGCCCTTCTCTCCAAGCAAAGAGGGCGCTCTGTGACACAAAGACAGAGTGCAATAAACTCATATTTGGGAGAGCAATCTGACAGCAAGGCAAAACCACTGCCCACTCGCATCCTTACACATTGCTGTCTGGCAAAATGGTTTAGCATACAGTTGTCTCCAAACTTACTGCAAGCATTCCTACAGAGAAATTGTGCTGTCTGTATAGTATAAAGCAACTGTAATATATCAAATAGACAGAAAAAAATAGGAGGCAGGATCTGTGTTCCTCCCCTCAACACTGAACTACACTGGAGAGACCTCATTGCTTTCCCCTGAACGCCCAAGGTGCACTTCCTTAATTTTATAATCCTCCAACACTAACACTTTTCAATGTGCATGCTTAAACAAGGCCTGACCTATATGAACCCTTACACTATGCACATAATTCCTCTCCTTGGGAAAAGGATTATTTAAGCCTGATAAACATTATGTTCATGTGATTGGTTTCTGGAAGAAGTTTACACTATATAAGCACCAAAGCAGCATAAAACGCTACTTCAGGGGAGAAAAATCTGTGCCTGTGGCCAGCCTCTCAGCTTCTCTGTGCTAACTGTAAATTGCAACTAGGAATGTTCACCTACCTTTGCAATGCATTTTGAGATGTATGGATAATGATTCTCAGCAACTATCTAAAGCTCATTAAAATACTCCATGTGCAAGTCACTAACATGTCATTGGCTGATGTGGATAACAAAGCAAAGGAAAGAACATACTAGCAAATTCCTAGGAAGTAGGAAAGCAGAAAGAACAAACAATTTTGCACCTATTAAATCTGTTCATGTGACAGTATAGAGGAGAGGAGAGGAGAGGAGAGGAGAGGAGAGGAGAAGAGAAGCCATTCCCAGTTCACAGGCTTAAAAAAACAGTTTTACCATTTTACATAAAACTCTCTATCTTCACTTACCCACCAAGATCCAGTTCTGACCTTGGCAATTCCCACAGTTCAAGCTGAAAATGTGACAAGCATCATTTGAAGGAAATTCCTATACATGCCTTGTCATATCTCCAGCTCTTCTAAAGGGAACAGAGTTCAGAATACAGCTCTAAGCAGTTATGTAATAACAAGAAACAAATTTCAAATATTTTGCTTGCACTCTGAGGCCAAGCTCAATTTTCAGTCTGTTCCTCCATTCCCAGTATTGATTTGACATTGTTTTTTATCAATTCATTTTTGTCTCTTAAATTAACTTTTTAGCTTAGAGGAAACTAATGCAAGAGTCTGCACTCTGACACTAATGGTAAACATTGTGAAGTTTGGATTCATCATTCTGAAAGTCACTTAGCATTTCCTCCAAATGCCTGGCAGCTCTGGGCTATGCAAGCTCTTTCCCTGTCAAACAACACAGTGAATCCGAAACAGAAAGCAACCTGGTTTTAACTATCTCCTGTTAATTTAGTATAAGTACTGTTGCAAAGGTCGGTAATGAACCCGCAGACTACACTGCTTTGGTGTTTTGTTTATACCCCAAAATTGAAACCACCATGTGGAGAATTTCTGAATTTAAGACAAACTCCATCCAGCTATTCTTCAATGAAAGTCAGCAAACTAATTCTGACACTTAGAAGGTCCTAATCCTCTCATTGCTGTAATGAGGAGACACAGATCCCTCAATGAGAGATGTTACTCCCTGCAGTGAAGGATGCTGCCTTCCTAAACATCCTTACCCCTTCTCTTACCAAACCTCCAGAAGAAAAGAGCAAATGATGCAACCAACCACCTGTGCCACACAGCAGCAAAGGGAAGTGGAGGCGACTAAATGCAGGCAACGATTGTAGAACCAAAATTTGGGCAGTATGTGGCTACCAATAGCCCAAGCTATTCAGAGACAGAAATGAAGATCTCAGGAGAGTTTCATGTACCCTGAGGCAAGAGAAATCATGATACAGAGCAGTTGCTTTCTCTGGGACACTGTGCTTGCACACCAGGACATTGGGTATTCCTGTGAGGAAAGAAAAGGTTAGGCAGCTATGGCAAAACTTGGGTGATCATTAGCATGTTCTCTTGCCCCCGCTGCAATTCTTTTGTTTCTCTCCTGTTCCTTCATGTACAGCTGCTGCAACAAATTGCATAGTTTGTAAATGACAAAGGAGGCATTGTGGTCTAATGGACAGGGTGAAAAAACCCAATCGATAGCAGGCAGCTCTATATCCTGCATTATCTTTTTCTGATGCCTCAAGAAAAGGAAGTCACTTTCAAGCAAACTGCAACTCCTCCTGCCTGAAAGGCTAGTTTATTCCTGCCATCCCTTTAGGCAAGAGAACAGGGTGGGTTTTTTCCTCCTTCTGCCCAGAAAGACATCCACCATGGGAGAAGAACTGCTTTTAATCACTATCAGAGGTTTCCTCTGGAAACTTGCACCCGTGGACTGAAGTGAAAACCAAAGCATTTCTCGTTTCCTCAGCCAAGTTCCCCAGCCTCACCCGTGCTCCTGAGGTTGCACTGCTGGCTGCCTAATCACATGGATGTGGCAGGTGCCTGACATGGCTTCACCCTCCTCTGAAGCCTCTGTTGCCCTCTCTGGGGCCAGCAGCAGGTGCTGCTATTGCAGACAGTCCTGGATGAACTTGATCGTCTCCTGATAAAACTGGACACGGAATTGTCTGTTTGTGTCCATAAACTCCTTGGGCCATTACCAAAGACTTGAAAGTCTCATCCCTGCACAGTTATCTGAAGAGCTACCCAATGCAAAGGCTCTGAGTGAGGGTCATAGCCAAATATGTGGGCAAATGGGGGAACCCAACGCAGATCCCCTCAGGACCCCATCCAGCCTTGTGCATCACAGCAGCTCTCCTTGCCCACCTAATAACACCCTGAGCTTGTGGGAATGTCAGTGGAGATGGTAAGTACAGGAGGGTTTCTTCCTTCCCTTTCCTTCTGTGTGTGTGTGCAATACACATGTCCATTTTTATGTAATAAAGGAACAGATTTTTCCCTTACATAACTCCCGTGTTGCATAGGGATCCAGGTGGTTTATGTTTCTATGACTTCGTCCCCCCCCCCTCCCAAATCCCTCTGGCTTTATTGCCTTCATTTAAAAAAAAAAAAGTTACTTTTTTCTCATTAGTAGATGATTTCTCCTTTCAACTATGAAAAGCTTTACTAGTCTTTAATTTTTTATCAAGCTTTTCTAGTCTTGTTTTAAAATGTTTGATAAGATTAATATTAGAACACCTTATAAAACTGCCACTGTAAACACATATTAAAAATATATATTATACATATATTTGGAACAAATCCTAAGCATACAATACACTCACAGTATTTACTAATATTTCACTAAAAAAACCAAACCTGTCACAAATAGGGACGGTCTTGTTCTTACTGTATTTTCTTGTGTCAAGACTATGGTGAAGGAGTAAATGATGCATTTTGGAATGGCGGAAAATGTTAAATAGAAGGCTTAGAAATGCTTGCTTCAGATGTGCATTTGAACAACGGGATGTCTTTGGGCCAGCTTTTATTGGTGGTCAGTATGAAAACAGCCTAGGTGTCAGAATGTAACAGTGTGTGACAACAAGGTAATTATTATGGAACAGAAACACACACCAAGCTATTATCCTGAGGTTGTTCATGATCAGGAAGTCTTAAACAGCATGAGTTAATTTCATCTGTACCACCAACCAAAGACTAAGAAGCTTTCCCAGAATTCAGTCCTTTTAGTCATGGAGAAGCAACTGTCACTCTGAAGGAGTCGTAATTCAAGACTTGTGAATCTCACCCAAGACCTGCCACATTTAGAAAAGAAATTCATAAACTACTGACACCATTCCTGCTCAAAACAGGTGATCAATCATTCAGATAAGGAATCCTCTCTCCTTCCTTCACACACTACTGGTTCAACCACTAGCAAGCTGCCAGTGCTAGATTCACAACATGTGTCTAAATGATGCCTGGTCTCAAACACAAATTCCCAAGAAATATCACAGTGGAAGCAAGCCAGCAAGTCAACTGTAAGCTGATCGGATCAGAGGCTGACACTCAAAACTTGGGATAATCGCTACCCAGCCCAGGGGTGGAACTGAGTCTTAGAAGCACCATCACCTCCTATAAGTAAGTAGATGACACATATCCATTCTGAGCATCTCAAGTCGTTCTGTAACTGTTGATAGATTGGCTACAAGATACTTTCATCTCATAGCCAAGAGGGGGAGGTTGAAGAATGGGTCAGAATACTCTGTGCTTTCTGGAGGATGAACTATGTACAATTAAAAGGCAACTTCAAGATTCTTGTCAACGCCTCCAGAGATGAGGTGAGCTGATGAAACAGTGAGAATTACTAGCAGTTCACAGATGACACACAGTTCTTCCTGTTCCCCAGCACAAACTACATTACTCCCACTCTTACCACTTAATGCATTTATGGCAACTTGTGGAACTGATACCAACTAATACAGACATTGCTGATGGGCAGAGAGGGAGAGCCATGCCATTGGTGTAGCCTCCTTTAACACTGCACAGATTTGCAGCTGGTGCGTAAGGAGAGTTTCTGGATTCCCCGTCAAAGACGAATGTTCCCTCCAATTCTCCCCGGTTGCCTGAGAGAGTGAAAAACCCTGGTTGACAATCACTAGGATGTTTTGATTATCTTTTGATTATCTTTTGACAGAACTATAGCAATGTACTGTAGCTGGCCATAAAGTCTACTGCACAAAAGAAAACACAACCAGAGTAAGAAGTTTCACTGTGTCTCCTTAGCAACTCAAACAGGGATGTCAGACCTGAGTTCTGCTCTTTACACTGGCTTCCACAGCATCTGAGATGAAATTCCAGGTTTTGGTCCTCATCTTTGACACTCACTGTTGTGATGCTATGTGAAAAAATGCTTAACACCATGGGCTGAAGGATGTAGCTGGCAGTTTTATTCCTCTGACTGAAAGGAGTACTACATGGAAAACAACATTTTCTGGCCTGAGGCTATGAAAAAGTCTCTTCTAGGAACAAAGAACTATGTCTAACCTACTCCTCTCCTCACCCGCATATAATTACATTTCTCTGATGTAGCCTTCCTTATTAGAAATACCTAGCAACACATCCATTCAAAGGCAAAACACCTTCCTCCTCCTCTGCCATTCCCTCAAGGTTTACTAAACACTCCATTGCACATGCTTTTTCTTTGGGAAGAATAAAACTAAAGAAAAAACTGACAAATACTAAACACATTACTTAATGTTGCACAAAGGATGTTGAGATAAACTATGCACTAAGATGTATTTATGGGGTCCACAGCTAATGGCATATACTGCCTTTGGCAGCAACAGTTATTTTTGGAGAATACAGAAAAAGGAGAGAGGATGAGGGAGGGAGGCACAGAAGGAGAAAGAGAGAAAGGGAAAAGGAAATTAGTCTCTGTCTCCAGCCAACTGACAAGTGACACGGTCTCCCACACAAGTGACCTCTCCTGTACAAGATATGATCACAATACTTTTTCCATAATAACTATATTGTTTTCACCAGGATCTGCTCAAACTTGCTACTGCCTGTTCTTGCCTATCGTGCTATTAGTACTCACTGAAGCCTGCTTTCATCAGGTGCAAGAGCCATCTAGCATGTACATGTATATTCTTTGGGCAATATTTATTAGCCACTTAAATGTCTATTACCTACTATCTTATCCACTAAATCTTGTTTTTCTCCAGAATAGACTACAAAACAAGGATTAGAAAAGAGAGGGGGAGAAGGACCGATTCTCACATTGGTGGCAGTTGTGTCTCATGAGAGCTGGCGATAACAACAGAATCAGGTTTTGCAGGTGTGAGCCCACAGAATAACTGCACACTAACAACAGAATGAGAGCAACAAGGAAGAAATAATGCCACGACGCCTTAGGCGTGTGGAGGAGAAAAGCTGCACTTTTGCAGTGAAAGCAGATTGCAATGTTACAGGTGAAAGGCAGCCTGCCGAATGGCAAATCGCAGGCCCTTAGCAAGAGAAAGGTTCAGGCACTTGAAGCATTGTGCAACATTAAAACATTCCTGGATGGCACTCTGATACTGTAGTGTCAACCTAGAACAAGAATTGACAAATTGCTGTACTAACTTCTTATGCCTCTGAAAGAGTAACCATCCTTTTCGCTAGGTGAGGGTGAAAAGAGCAGACTGTTTCTCCATCATAATAAAGAATATATAGTTTATCCTTCACAGCCATTCCTGGCACTCTAGACTGCAAGTCTCTTGTCTTGGCTAACAAGCTGTCAGTTTGGGAAGGACTGTGATGCTCTTTTGAAGACATTTACATTGGAAATACACACCCTTTACCACTCTCACACAGTCCCTTTCCCAGCCAGAGGTATTTGTATACAAAATTGGAGTTGTCACATCACTGGCCTTGTTAATGTTATTCACTCTGGAATCTATTTACCTCTTTAGGTACGTTTTATTTCCACTCAAATTCTGTTTGGTTTAAGTTTTGATCCTCTGACTTAATTTGAGAGAACAAAACAGGGTTTCATTTACACTCAGGTTCTGTTCAGAAGTTATTTATGACAGGTTAATATATGACTAATATGTATCAACAGTATTTTACACACATGAGCAACATTTGCTAAACTCTAGGTTGTTCTAAGAACATCAACAGAAAATATCTAGAAGAATCATAAAAACTTCTTGACCTATGGAATAGCCTGACTGCTTACCATTTATTAAATACCTTTTGATTCTTTGTTAGCTTTCTATTAACACATTACAAACAAAACCTTAATATAAAGCCCAAATAAAGCTTATTAGGCATTTGTGTTTGGTTTTGAGATCACCATGAAGCAGTGAATACAAATTACCAGCTGATTAGAAAGTCAACCTTTTTACCTCCGCCTCAGAGAATTTATCAAAACTAACACCTTCAGGAGTAGTAATAATAGAAGATGACAATTTCTGGAATTAAATATGCCAAATCATTTATCATATTCAATAATTACCATCAATTTGAAAAGATCAGGCTGACATAAGAAGTGAAATTATTAATAAGCTAACAATTTCATTTTCCCTTAGGACTGTAATTCATGAGATATTTAGGAAACTGATTAGTTTCTCCGTGATGGGTTCAGGTTAGAGCTGGCAGCAATGAATGCAGCACATGAGAAATGGAGAAAGACAGAGAATGACCCTCACCCAATAAAGGCCTTTAGGCTGGTAGGGAAATGCTCTGAGGACCCAGACTGTGCATCTGCTTTCCTGTAACAGCACAGCACCTCACAGAAACCATGTGCTCAGGCTCAAAGGAAATAAAACTTAGCAGAAAGAAATGCCTGTAGAACATGAACTAGAAAAGACCTTAAGTATTGCAGGCATGGATGTACAGGGAAGGCTGCTTTTTGCATTTTCAGATTATCATGTCCAGATAACAGTAAAACCTATGGGAGAGATCAACACAGCAACTAACTTCGGAGAGATGATGAGGCAGTGTTACTTGCTTTATTACAGGATTGTCTGAGGAACACTGCTCTACAAAACTTACATATTGAGATTGCTTGGATGGTTTCCACTTACCTGTCTTCCTTCCATAGCTCCTCGCATTTCCTTGAAAGTCGAGCTAAATTCTCCAATGAAGTCATGCTTTCCGTTGGAATCCCAGTCCCAAACTATGCACTGGGGAGACAAAAGGGAAAAGAACAAAAGAGCACATTTTTCTTCAGACAGAAAACGGGTTACACTGAAAAGTACTACAAGAGAAATTATGATATGCATTGGGTAGAGTGTTTTATAGGAGGAAATCACAAGACATACTAAAAACATATTCTTGTCTAGATCAAAATGAAATGACAAGTAGAATCTCAACACAGCTTGCTACTGACAGTTGTGTGTTATGGAGTTGGCTGATGAAAGCGAGTTAATGTATTTTAGAAAGAAAGGATTCCTTGATTCCATCTTTTTGCTAGGTGTAAAAATACAGGATTATGTGTATTTGCATGTTCATGGTCAAATGGTGTCCTGAATGAAGAGTCACTTACCTCACTGAAGTGCTTTACAAATATAAATTAATTTTTCAAACCCTAGTTGTTGTGGGCAAACATTACCATTCTCATTTTTACAGTCAGTGAATGTGAGACAATAGTTACAGAGATCATTTTCTGAAATGGCTTTGAATTTATACACATCGGTGTTTGGTGCCCATATCTTGGCTGTTTTCCAGTGTTGCTCAAGAGTGACTATTCAAATCAAACCTCGCTGGTAGTCATTCCTAAATTCATGCATAAGCATGAATATCTCCATGAGTTTGAGCTGTGAGAATTTTATTTTACAGACATTGCTAAATACAATTCAGCTAGCCAAGACTGAAGCACATCGTAATAACTACATGCTTTGCTAAATGTTAATTTTAAAACTGGCCCAAAGACAACAAAGGGGCTCACAACTTTAAAGAACAAAATCCCAAATTCAGCCTCATGGTCTCCCTAGATAAAGCTTGCATATGTTGACAGAATCAGGAGACCTTTACCAAAAATGTCCTGTTACAAAATACCTTTTTTCCTTTTTTTTTCTAAAGCAGAAATGCCTCAAAGCCATCTGCACTGTCGCATGAGTGCACTGACACTTGGCTATCAGATGGCTTTGAGGGTAACGTCGACTCCCTCCTGAGGGCGAGTCTTCCAGGTCTGTGCATGGGTGTGGGGTGAGGACTGGACTGGTGGAAGTAGTAGAGGAGGTCCCTGCGGAGAAAGGCAGGAATGAAACATAACTGGGGGTGGTGGGGCAGGAATACTCGGGTACAAGGCTTAACAACAGTGCGTTTTATCAGGCCACTTTGTCTCAGTGAGGCTCAGTGCTTTTAACCCAGCACTGGTGGTGACACGACACCAGAAGAAGAGCGAGGTTTGGTCTTCAGAGAAACCTCAAGGCATTTGAAGTTTGCTTGGTCCAAAGGGGCACTTTAAGTTCACCCTGAAGGGAACTGAAATCACTGGATCTTGACTGGATTTGGAATGTTAAATATTTCCAGAACAGCATTTTATTGAAACAGACTTCCATGTCCACTAGCTATGCGTTCTAACCAGTCTGAATAATCCAGTCAAAGCTGGTAGGTGAGCACCGTGGCCAATCCCTTTTCACTGGCCCACTAAACCACGGGTTTGTAAATTCACTTTGAGGGTAGGGGAAAGAATCTACAGAAAGCTTGAGATATTGGCAAAATGACCGAATCCTTTGAGTGAGAGCAAACAGACAAAAAGTATTTCAGGAGAAAGACTATCTGAAACAGCGTAACTCACTACAGGCAGAGTCTCTCACAAAGTCAGCCTTAATGGGTGTTCATCATCTCACATCCTCCCACCACAGCTGAAAGTTAATAAATAGACTCTTCCACAAAAAGGTTTGTCCATGTGAGGTCCATTGACCTGAAGCATAGGTAGGAAGATACTTGATCTCTACATCTAAGCCAGTTACCTGAATTTATTATGCTGCTAAGTGCCCAGGCACCTTATTTGCCTTTGTAGAAGCAACACAAAGGTGGTGATTTCACTAAACTCATACCCAGGACTCCTCCTGGCAGTATACCACCACCCATGTTATCATTTAGGTTCTTTTCTTTTTTTACAATGACTCTAGCTTTCTTTTGAACTTTCAATGCTGTTCCACTTAGCCCCAGGAAGAGGTCTGGCTGGATGCAAGGGGAATTTCTCTGATCCGTATAGAAGATGTGTGGTAGAGGTACAAAGGACTGCCTATAGGGAAAGAGTACAAGTATGTCTCTTACTGCTACAGAAGTTAATCAGTTGAAACAGTTCACTGGTCAGGCAAAGATCTCGTTCTTGAGCCCTCCGTTACTTTTCCATCCTACCACCTGCGCTTTTGCTTACTTACTTTATGCAGGGATCCCAGACAAAAGGAAGCTCCAGGTCAAAAAGTGAAAATATTTTCTCTAAGACTTGGAGATCCTTTTCAGCAGCTTTGACATTGCAGGGGTGGGTGGAGGTTAAGAGGGAAAGGCAGGGGAGTTCCTCTGTATGCTTGTTTATAAGCTAAATTTTACACAACAATGATCAAGCAAGAGTGGGTTTCTGGTTCTGATAGTGGTAATGTTGCCTGGAACAAAACTCGACACAGTATTTTCATCACTAACAGCCCTGGAGAATTCTTTATGATGAAATCTTCACCAATAATCACTCTATGCTTATTATCAACTGCAATTTTTCGATGAGCTGGTAACAAAAAAAATCCAAGAAAAAGAATTTAATTTACAAAAAACCCTGCAATCATTTTTGTTTCATAGAGCTTGAAACAGATTAATTTTCTTTTTCTGTGATATTGTGTGTTAATATAAATTAGTCATTTTCTATTGAAATTACTTTCTAAATATTTCATGAAAAAATGGATTTCAGAGATTAAGCGTTACTTAAAACAATTTTTTTTCCCTGTAATGATTGTGAAAATGAATTAAGATCCTAAAAGTAACACTAAGTAAAAAGATTTGTCAAAATGTCATAGCAAAATTGATATAAATGTGCAAAAAGTATAGTTTTAGTAACATTGGGAACTTTTCAAAAAATGTTTTTGAAAAAAATGGGTAATTCACAAAGAAAAAAGCCAACCCTTATTGTGAAATTTTCCAACCAGATTTACTTTTCAGGTTCTGTCTTTAAGCTCTATTGGAGCATAAACACAAGAACAGATCCAAAGTTATCAGAGACCTCCAGGAAAAGGTACTTTGAAAAGATGCTAACTCTTATGAAGTGTGAAAAGCTCTGTGTGCTGATTTGTGGTTAGAATCTTAACTGGAGATGAGCAAAGTTAAATTACATTTAAAATGTCCACCCAACAGGGATCCAACTGCTTTTTCTTTCAAGCTAGAGGCTTTCTAACCTTAGCTTTCAGAAAGCCAGATGGTACTTTGATCTTCATGTTGGCTTCATGGAAAAGACAATTACAGTATTATCTCAGTGCCATTTGCACAATTAGAGCTAAGGAAGAAAGGGGGTTCCTGCATGTACATCCATTATGACTTCTTCTTTTTTCAGTTTCACATCTGCCCATAGAAATTAATTGTTACTGTCTGAAAAACATGTTGTACACAGTGATGATTCTGCATTTCAGCTGTATGTGAAAAGTATTTCTGAATCTTATAAATACTGGGGTCCAGAAGTTTTTAGAAAAACCCACTCAGACAGATAAAATAAGCAGGGAAGGACTTTTGCAAATAATCTAGAATCAGGTAAAGACCAGAGGTGATAACCGAAGGATTATTTTCCCTATGAAATACTTCAAAGCTGTTGTTTTTTTAAAGAAGGCCCTATGTGCTTTTCAAATCAAATCCCCCACAAATCGTCCTTTATCTTTAGGCAAACCTTAATGTGTTCTTTGGGTCTGTACTCTTACAGGTTGCTTAAGCAGATGATTATCAGTATACTTACAGTCTATTAAAAGTCTCATTAATTCAAGGAGGCTTTCCGTATGCTTAATTTTAAACACTGGTAAATCAGTGTTCAGATAAGTGGTGAAAGAATTCAGTCTCCTACCTATGGTTAGAAGCTCAAATGCAGGGAATAAAAACTTCTGTCTAATGCTGCATGGTAATGGAATAGCGCTGACTGGAATGATGAACGCCTACTCCTGCATGGTCCTTCCTCCCTCCCCAAAATACCTGCTGACTGCAGGGAGAAGGAACACTGTGTCAGGGCCTCTCAAGGAAAGGCGCTATGCCTGATAGAGCTAACCAGTAGACTCAGTTAAGAGAACATCAGAGGATCACTTCTGGGTACGCACATCTCCATTCCTTCAGCTTTTCTTGTAAATGCTACAAAATGAAAGATTTCCTTTCAGGCTGAAATTGAAATTTTCACTGGAGAAGGGGGGGAGAAAAGTCTATTTTAAAAAGAAAAAGATATCTCAGGTGGATAGAGATGGAAATTTTCCCTGGTTTTATTTCTGTTCAGCTTTTTCATCAAGCGTAGATTTTGACAATACTCTCACTACAAAGGGAACTTCTGAGCAGCATGCAAGAAAAATTGCATTGATACTGGAGCTACAACAGCACAGGCTTCTCTGGCTGAATTTCCTAATGCTTCCCAGAAGATGTCAGCTAGATTAATCTTGCTACCTCTGCATGAGCAAAAAAACCTCACTTGCACAATTTCTGATTTTAATTATATTTTACAGAAATATAATCTGGACCATCCTCCAGCTCCAGCCAATACTGATGTTCTGTGATGTGATGATGCCTAGATAAGAAGTAAATCAATTTCTCTGTCCAGTGTCTCCCACAGAGCAAGGCAGTTTTCTTGTTTGATAATTCAACAGCAAAAAAAGAATTCCTACCTCAGATCCAGAGCACATGATCCACACTCAATCATTATTTTTTTAAAGTTTAACTTCCATGACCTGACTTGAGACCAGAAAGTGGTGTTCCACATCTCAATATGAGAGTCAGACTATGTTTTCACTGAGCAAAATTCTTGTACAATTGTCATAAAATAATTCTTCCCATGCTCACCATCCTATCCAGCTTTAACCACAAGGAGAACTAAGTAAAAGACTGACTACTGTAAGTTTGCATTTGTGTGTGCGTGTCTGTAGGTGCTGAGATTATTTTCCCTATATATCTTCAGGGAAATGCTTCAAGTGATTTGTCCCCATTAGGCTGTCACGAACAGAGA